ATTTACGGTGGAAAACATCCATCCATTTCACAGAAATTACAATGAATTGCCACCCACCTGGGTATTCTTTCCCCTTTTTTTTTTTTTTTTTTTTTCTCTGGTCCTTAATGATTCATCAATCAAAGTAGTTTTTACATGAGTGCTTACACATCTCGATATCCCAGGAAATGAAACTCTTGGCAGAAGTAGACCAACCAGGCAGCCTGATCGACAACTACGTGACCCAGTTGAGTTTCGTGCTGTCTCGCAAGGCAGCAGGTTTGGTGAGTCTTCAAGCTCGCCTTGCCAGGTTTCAGCATCGTCTGAAAGAGCAGGAGATACTGAGTCGCAAGAGAGTTCATCGTTAAGCCATCTGTTTGTTTATCTGCTTCAGTGACTGCTTCCAATCCTGTTTATGTATCCATTGCCTATTTTCTAAAAAAAGAAAAAAAAAAAGAGGAGAAAAAAAAAATCATGTCTGTAATTTCTTTTACTTGTGTATATTTTACTATTGCAGTATCTTATTTTTATTTTTGTTTTAGAAATCTGGTGGTCAATCACATGTAATTGAATGCCGAAATTGTTAAAAATTATCTTTAAGAAATCTAAGCAAAATTATGATTTTTGCCCCCAATTAAAATCTTCTTGTTTAAATTTGGTTCAAAGTAACAATTGAGTCCCAATTTTTCAAAGTCCGACCGTAAAAAATTTATCGGATGGGAGGCTTCTCCTCCCACTCCCACATGAGGGAGTGTCCTTCCCACATTCAGACTCTGTGTAAATTGCACAATAGAAAACAATCTTCTTTTGTTCCAAGGCATTTAATTCCATACTGTGTCTCATTGTTTTATTTTCAGTTTGTTTTAAATTTTTTTTTTTATATTTTAGAATAAATAAATATTTTTACTTTAATTTTATTATTTATTTATTTTAATTAAATATCTTACTATAAAAAAATTATTTTATTTTTTAATTTTTTAAAGATAACCAAAATAAATATATAAAGTATTTTTAAATATTTAATTTATAAAAATTAAAAAATAAATAATTATTTTAAAATAGAAGAAGTATATATTAACTTCAAAGGATACACTACGGCCACAATTCCACTCCCAGGCCCCCCACCTGGGGTCTACTCAATTCCAGGAACTTTCGCACCAGTGCAGTAATCATTCCGTTACTTTTGGAGCTTAATGAGTAAACTAATACCAGAAAAAAAAATATATTAAAAAAAAAAATTCACAGTTTGATGCAGTCCAAAAAACTGCAAAACTCCAAACTCATACTAATAAATGAACAAATACGAATCCACCACAGCAATGTCAGTGCGCATGCAGCCAATAATCTTGTACGAGTAATTTTCTATTAACTGTTACAACTGCAAATGTCTCAAAAAACTGTAGATATATATATAGAAAAGGTTTTAATACTTAATGGACCAAAAGAATTACATACACAAAACACCTACATTTCCAAGAGAAACCCTTCAAAAATACCCCTATTTACGACCTTGCTTGAATTCACCTTCAAGTTGTGGATGATTCCTCCTAAGCTATGTTAGTCAATTGACCAAAACTCTTGATGATACTATCATAGAATCAAACCGATACTCATGCATTGTTGTTACCACTGCAGGACCTTGTAGAAGCCTTCTCATCAATCAAACATGAAGCGGCAGGCATACTTTATTCAATCTAATGCAAAATGGGAGCTATAGCATGTCATTGAAGAAGCTGCTTCACACATTTAATCAGTCCGCTCTCAATCTCAGAATTTCCTTGGCTGTCCTTAACCGGAAATAGGGCATGTGTTCCTGTTAAGGCATAGAAGACGACATTGAATTCATAGGCTATAAAAAGTTACCTTAACTCAGGAAGGCATGTGCCTGGGTTCATAATGTTATATTTTTGCTGATTAACAGAATAGTTCAAATCCACATATCAAAAGAATTAATAAAGATGTTCATATAAAAAATAATTAATTACTTCACAACCATCTAAATGTTCCAACTTGGAAATAGAAGTCCAAGCACCTACGATGCATTAGAGAACACCATTATCTAGCACTTACCTGGTTAAAACAGAGCCCACAACCTCTGCTATAAAAGTCCATATACTTCAGCATAAACACTCCACAATCAAACCTGTAAACAGAGGATCAGTTTAGTCCAGAAAATATTTCATATATCCAAAAAAAACCCAGGAAGACACCATGAAATAGAAGGTACTTAGATTCACCAAGGTTGAGAATTTACAGAAAATGCCTACTGAAATTTCAAAAAAAGAAAAAGGAAAAAAAAAAAGAAAAAAAAAAAGGCTAGCTTACCAAGGATTTAGAACCTATAAAGGTGTTGTAACAAAATGAAGATGGCCAATTGCCTTCAAACGCATTCATTTAACTTTCCATGAGCCAAGAGTTAAACCCAACAAAATCAACTATGGCAACATTAAGTTGCAGGAAAGATTCCAAAACACATTTCCCCTGGATCTGTTATCTAACTAGTTCAAAACTTATTTCACCCTCTCTATTCTCTTCTTTAATCAACAAAATCCATAAGAAATCCATATTCAACGACTAAAAGCACTGATTTTTAGCTGATCACCTTGGCCCCTATCATGTACCATTTTATATAATTAAATAAAGCTATTGTGCAAAAATTCGATAGAAGAAGTCATTTGCTTATATAAATAAGCTACAAAAACGTCAAGCATAGATTCCTAAAAGAGACTGGTCAAAGATATTAGAATACACACCCGTTCATTTGCTCAGGAAGATCTTCAACGTATTCATGTTCCCACGAACTTATATCAATCTCTTTTCCACACTTGTCCTTAACTTCTTCAACAAAATATCTTTCCTGGCACATATCAATGACCAATATTAGAAAAGTTTAGAATTTGCTACTGACTTTTCCATGTTCCCTTTGATGACCCTTTCTACCCTGTTTGGTCTTAGGGTCAAGACACATCATAAACATAGAAGCATTTTCTAAACAAGCTGATCTACCAAAAAATAGATAAATAAACAAACAAATTGATTAAGTTGATTTTCTCAGTATATATCACTATATCTCAAGAAAGAGAATTGGTTATGGATCCATTCAAGTGCTGGCAATGCTTAGACAAGCACAATAACTAGAAGGTGCCCAGCCCCTTGGGAGTTTAAGTTATATTGCAAGTCCCAAAATCATGCAAGGATCAGGAAATCAGTTTACAAGATATCTCATGTCCTTGAATATTTTCTGCACTAAGACCTAGAGCAAAATTTGTCTCTTAGTATCCCTAATTTACAAAAACCAAATGTGATAAAAAAGCGATAGGTATATCAGAAAACTTAATAGTCATGAATTAAATAGGGTCAGAACTCAGAAGTACATCACCAATAAGTTGTTAGAACCTTGAAGAATTCAGAACAGGCACCTCAGAGAGAACAAGACAATTTTTTGAGAAGAAGAAAGTTCAGTTCCGCAATATTTTTCAATTGAACGATGGAATATTTAAGAAAGATGCAAGGAATTAGAGTGCTTGAGGTCATATGGACTTGATGCTTGAAGTATATCAACTGGCAAGATTACTAACAGAAGTAGAGAGAATGTAATAAACAAAAATTGGTTAAATTTATTTCAGATGTCCAGAGAAGGATCCTCAAGAAGCTATTATATCTACAAGAGAAAATTGTAGGTAATTAAAGCAAAATGATATTGAAGCTACGAAGTATCCTTCAAAAAAAATTAATAGCATAAAATAAAATAATTTTAAACCCCAGGGAAAAAAAAAAACTATAGGACATACCAGGGCATTCAGCACTCTAGTATCCTTTCCTTTAAGCGAATCAAGATACTGGAGCTTCTGATCTTTCTTATTAATAACCGCTAAGCACCAGTGCACCTCTTTGTGTATGGGGACAAATATCTGAGTGAAGCCGCAAAACAATTTTTAGGATAAGCACATCATCCATGGAGCCAAAAAAAAATCCGGTGTAACACAGAAGGTGGATTCATGATATTTACCTTATCACAATCAATGAGGAAGTACCCCAACTTCCTTTCTGAAGTCCATCTCTTGACAGCTTTATAGTTATAGCCATTTTCACCTACTAACTGAACATCAACATTCATAACAGGAAAAACAAAGAATCAATACCACTGCCATAAAATTTGATTACACAAATAATTACAGAAATCTTAACCAAACAGAAGAACAGTTACAAAGCTGAAAGTGATTGGTAAAATAGAGAAAAGATGAATGTCAGTAAATGGTCTTTACAAGAAGATTTGATGATATGAGGCCACTGAGGAGGGCACAGGCAAGCGAAAATTAAAGTAGCCAAATTTGCAGAGTGGAAGGGTGCTATTGACCTTTTTATAGAAGAAGGTGTTAAAGAAATGGCATTTCAGAAACTTCTTCGGTTCTCTTCGTTCTCTCTCCTTAAGTAATTCAAGATACACATTAATCACCTACAAAAAGAGAAATTAGATGACTAGTAGTTAACCACAATCAGTTCAAACAAAATTCAGTTAATCCCAATGTATAGTGGAATGCCTACAAGCTAAGAAACTCTTTCCAGTGGACTACCGTGAGAAATCTGGAGAAACACTACACAAGATATAACCCTGAAAGAAAAAAATACCACCTCATCGTTCAACCATGCTCCTGGCTTCAGGCACTGCAAAATCCGTACTGTAATATCAATGTTTGAGTTCTGATGAGAGACCAAAACCTTCCTCCTGCAGAAGAAAATGGAGCCAATATCTCAGCCAATAAATACATTCAATCAAATATTAAAAAAAAGAAGCATCAATTGGGCCATACGGATTATTAGCAGAAAAGGCACGTTGAACCTCAGCGTGTTCCTCATCCGTAAGATGCACAAATGGTTCTTGAGGTACTTTCTGAAATTCAATAATCAATATTTAGTGAAATTGCATCAATAACTTCCAGACTTCCAAGCTTAGGTATACAAAAATCAATAATAAATAAATTTATTATCCAAAATCACCACCAAACAAAGTTAAATAATCAAGAATCATGCTAAAAAGGAATTTCACCTCTACTGGTTTCTCCTCTGGTTTCTTCAAACTTTGCAAAGAGCGGAACCCATCCCGCCGCTTCTCATGCAATTCAATCTGAAATCCTAAATCATTCAACCTTGCAGTTCTGCTCTCAGCTTGTTCCAGCAAGCTCTTATAGGCTTCTATACCCAACTCTTCCAACCCATCACGACTCAATGATAGGGAATCCAACATCTTCCCTGCACTTTCAACTCTTAAACTCCCATTGTTTGACTCTGTAACCGCGGAAGATGAAGACGGCTGCAAACTCCTCTCTACAATCTTCCCTCGTCCGTCCTTTATAATCTCCACTTCCTCAACACTAAAATCATCAGACACCGCTTCTTTTCCCTGATCATCATCATCAATAATCACCACCTGATTCTTCTTCGGGTACGTTATCACATCCATTGCCATCTTTTTGACACTAGCACACTGGCGACTGAAGAAATTTCCCATCTTGCTGAGACCAACAGGAGTAAAATCCTCTTTTTCAATATACCCACTTGAATTCTGCCTCGAATATTGATTCGAACGCAACCCTGCAAACCCAAACTTGAGGTTTCTACAAGGAGCGTGAACTTCTCTGGGCAATGGACGCTTGGCTTCCGGGTATCGAGAGAGCCTTGAGACCGTGGTGTTAGATGACAAAATAGGTTTCTCTGGGCTCTGCTGCATTAACGAGATTCTGGGTTTCTTGGAAACCCGAAAATCTGGAGAAAACTGGTACGTCTTCTGGGTATTGAAGGTGGAATAATCAGCTCGCTTCCTATTGCTTGCAAGAGCACCCATGGATGGAAATCATAGACTCCAAACCCTAAACACTCATACCCATCTAAAGCAAACTGTTTCAGACAAACAATTAGATTAAAAAAACAAACTTTTGAAAACTAGGGTTTATGAAATTAAACCCAAAATACGTAGATACGAAATCAAGAAGCTAAATTCAACTCAGAGAGATAGAATTGAAAAGTTTAGAAAAATGAAAAATTCAAATCATTTGAAATCCAGAAAAATAAGAGAGGGAGGATAACTTGATTTGAGAGAGAGTTTCGGGATTTCAGGTTCAGCCTTTGAGGTGAAGGGTTTCTTTTTCGCCGTTTCGCGTCACAGACAAAACCTCAAATACTAGACCCACAAAAACTTTAGTATGGGTACGGCCGCCTTCTCTTTCCTTAATTTCTTCACCTTTTTTTATGGTTTGGCCTGATTTTGGCTGTAACGACGTCAGGAACATTGCAAGTTTCCTTTCCTAGTACGGGCAAGGTTACCATCACCCATAATGATGTTACGATAATTAAAATTATATAATTTTTTTAAAAAAATTTATATAAAATTATTTTTAAAAATATTAATTTTATTTAGTTTAATTAATAAAAATAATAAATGATGTGTTCTAATGCCAATACGTTCTATCATAATCATTCATTAAGAGTTTACTTAATTAATAATATGATGAACGTCTTTATTTTTACTTTTTTTTTATAATAATAACTATTAACAATGATACTTAATAAAATAAGTAATATTTATTACATAGTTAAGAAATTAATATTAAGTAATAAATTAATATTTTTAGATATTATTTTTAAAAGTTAAAATTTTAGTAAACTTAACCATAGTGATAATTAGAATATCCACACATTATTAGTACTTTTAGATTTTTTTACACAATATTTTATTTAAAAACATAAAATTTTAATTTTTTTCTTAAATTTTAAATTTTACATATTTTTATTAATTTTAAATAATATTTTATATAGTTTTAGTAATGATAATAGAAGAAGTAAAAGACAAAAATACCTACTTTATAATACAACATAATATAGACAAACAAAACTTAGTTTAATTATATAACATAATTGTAAAATTATAATTATATGTAACTTTATAATTATTTTATTATAATTTTGTTCTAGTTTTGCTAATGACTATATATTGCCTACAATTGATAAATACTAGTACTAATTTAAAATTTTTTTGTTTAATAAGAGTACTGCTTTAAGTTTTTACTTTGGGTTTTTTTAACATTTGCTCTATATAAGTGTAATAAATATACAGTACATCCTTTTGGTAATTCACACCTCTTCTTTTTTTAAAAAAAAAAAAAAGAAGAAAAAATCTTACACAATTTTAGGTGGTTATAGTTATTATTATTTTTTTAACTTCATGAAATACAACCCTAATGTATATGACATTTACTTCTTTAATTCGTATAATTCACATAGACTCATTTAAGAAAACATTATGTGTCATGTAGATATTCTTTCACCAATTTCATTTCTTTTTTCCAAATTCAATAAAATTTCTTTAAAATTTTGGTTTTTATTAATAAATAAAATAAAATTTGATCTACATTTAGATGCATTTTTCTCTTTTGTTTTTAGTAGTGATAGAGATGATCAAATTAAGGACTAAAATTTAAAAACAATGATATAATATAAGTTATATTATTAAATAAATTAATATATGTATATATAATATTATGTGTCATAAAAATATAAAATGAACTAATCATTATAAGGTACACATTTGATCCCAAATTTTCAGCCCTTTCATCATTTTACTTTTTTCTCTTTTCATTTTTCTTTTTTGATGAGATGCGAATTTGTATTTAGCCAGAGTAATTTTCTTTTTCTTGATTGACACAAAAATCCATTTAAACTACGAAATGGTGAGTTTTCATATCCTATAAAAATACAAAAAAACGAAAAACAACTTTTACTTTGCAATGGAGTGAAAAGTTCAATCTGGATTCTAATGAACTGCATTACTGACAAAAACCAGAAAGAGTGATATGGACTCATTTCTTCTTCAGTCCAAAATCTTTGCTTTATATATATGATCCAATTCTACGAGCATACAACTACTGGGAGTTTTGGTTTTGATTGTTTTTATATATTTGGTAACTAATACTATGAATAATAATTCAGGTACCCTAAATATATTATTAGTTGCTAAATTTAAAAAAGAATCAAAACCAAAAGCTAGAAACAATAACGATACTAAACCGAACATTAATTATCTCCAAGTTTTTTTGTTGTGAATGGGACTCCAGGTATTAGTTTGGCATCATCATTCTTGCACAAGAGCAGCAGCTCGAGGAAAAGGGGGTGGGGTTAGAATCTGAAACATAAGAGGTAAATATCAGCGAATAAATGGTTAGAGTTGGATAGAGCGATACCGGGATGATGTTTTGGTTTCAAAGGAACTACCTTTCTGAGTCTTATACAAGTTGCACAACTGCAGCAACTCTCAAGGACCCGTTTTGGACAAGATCTGCAAGCTCATCAAATAATAGAGCTGTCCGCCATCCCCATCCTTTTGGAGCCTTTGGTAGAAGAGTGCCTTTTTGTTTGAAGCTTCCAAAGACCATCACTTCTCGCTTTGATGGACAGATCAACTGAAGCATAAAAGAATAAAAGATAAGAGTCAAGGACAACCAATATTTGCATAAAACTGTCTCCTAGGGGACATTCCAGTAGTTAAGAGCTTAATTCTTCATGTTGGAGATCTCAAGTTTGAATCCTGAGAAAGGTGGGGAAGGGTTTGGAAAGAGGAGGACTATCTCCTGTTATATAATCTATCATCCTATGTACCAAAAAAGTAAAAACGTTTGCATAAAATTAAACGTATAGTTTTGGACTGTATTTCAAGCTATTAGTTCCCATGGGGATTTACCTGATAACGTGCAGTGACCTTTTCACGAGAATCTACATACATATGAACCTGAGAAGAGGATGTTCTTTATAGATCAAAAACTTCAGTTGCAAGAAATTAATCAGAATAGCAGAGCAGTCATCAGAAAGAAGGAAGAATAAGAAGAGACATTCCCCTATGGATCATATAATAGACCAACACAAACTTTGATTTTGCAAGAACAAGGCTGACCTTTCTGAG